TTGTCAGCAGGATGTTGTTCAGTTTCCATGTATTCAACTTTATTGATTTGGCTTCTTATTGTTGATTTCTAGTCTTATAGCATTGTGGTCTAAGAAGATGCTCTGTAGAATTTTGATGGTTGTGAATTTATGGAGGCTTGCTTTGTGGCCTAACACATGGTGAATTCTGGAAAATGTTCCGTATGTACTGGAGAAGAATGTGTATTGTGCCGTTTTTGGATAGAATGCTCTGTGTATATCTATGAGGACAAGTTGGTTGATTGTGTTGTTAAGTTCCTCTGTGGCATTGTTGAGGTTCTTTCTGGTTTTTCTATCCCTTGTCAAGAGTGGTGTGTTGAAATCTCCTACTATAATTGTGGATTTATCTATTTCTTTCTTCAATTCCATTAATGTTTGCTTCATGTATCTTGGTGCTCTTTTGTTGGGAGCGTATATGTTTATTATGGTTATGTTGTCTTGCTCGATTGACCCTGTGATCATGAGATAGTGTCCTTTGTCTCTTATTCTGGTTTTTGTCTTAAAGTCTACTTTGTCAGAGATTACTATTGCGACTCCTGCTTGTTTATTGCTGCTGTTGGCTTGGTAAATTTTTTTCCATCCTTTAACTTTTAGTGTTTTTATCTTTGTGTGTAAGGTGTGTCTCTTGCAGGCAGCATATTGATGGATATTGTTTTTTTTTAATCCATTGTGCCACTCTTTGTTTCTTCCCTGGTGCATTCAATCCATTGACATTCAATGTAATTATCTATAATTATGAGTTGATTACTGTCATTATGTTACTTTTTTCGTGGTGTTGTTCATACTTTGGTTCTGCTTTCCTTTTTGTATTGGGTTTGTGTTTTTTGAGTTGATTCTGGTCGGTTTCTTCCTAGTTTCTTTGTTTGCTTTTTCTGTTTGGGAATTCATTTTCATGATATGTTGTGGGGTGATAACTTTCTTTGGGGTTTCCTTGTAGTCTACTAGCTTTTCTCTGCATTTAGGATACTCCATTGCAACCTGTAATTTACCTGGCATCTCCACCACCTGGGTTTCTGTTGCTGGGTTTGTCTCTTCTTTGACATTGATATGTTTATGTCCTTCAGTTGATCTCTGGGCTCTTTTGAGTTTGTTGTTGTAGTCTCATTCCGTTCTGGACTCTGCTTTCTGTTGACTATGTTCCAGGTGGTGTTGCCATACCTGTCAATCTCTGTTTGTCTTCTGTTCTTGTTGGTTCTCCATCCCCAGAACTCCCTTTATGATGTTTTGAAGTTCTGGGTTGGTTTTGATATTTTTTCTCAGATTCTGTTTTTCCTGGAATGTTTTGATCATGCCATTGTATTTGATTGATAGTTTTGCTGGTTAGATGATTCTTGATTGACAGGTTTTTTCTTGCAGGGTTTTGTGTGTATGTCTCCCCATTGCCTTCTTGCCTGCATGGTTTGTTCTGAATAGTCAGCACTTAATCTAATTTGTTTGCCTTTATAAGTTATATTTCTCTCCTCCCTGGCCACTTTTAGTATTCTTTCCTTGTCTTTGGTTTTGGAGAGCTTGATCATTATATGTCTTGGAGACTTTCTTTTGGGGTCTAAACTTCCTGGGGTATGTTGGGCTTCTTGAAGGTTTATCTTCTCATCTTTCAAGATGTTAGGGACGTTTTCTTCTAGAAGCTCTTCAACTATCTCCTCTGTGGACTTCTTTGATTCTTCTTGTTCCAGAATGCCAATAATTCTTACATTATTCCTCTTCATGTTATCCAGCATGAAAGTTAGATTGTCTTCAGATTGTTTTATCCTTTTAGCTGCTTGCTCTTCTATCTTGGCAGTATTGAGAGATTTGTCTTCCAGTTCACTGGTTCTGGCTTCCATCTCTTCTTGTCTGCTACTTTCCCCTTTCAAGCTATTGTCTATTTATAATATCTTGTTATTGATCACCTGGATATCTTTTTGCAGGTTTTGAATTGTTTCCCATGCTGTGTCAATCCTATTTTATTGTTCTTGCAGTACTTTCCTTACTTCTTCCTTATTCTCCTTGACCCCTTTTCAGAGTATTTGAATTTGTTTCCATATCATTCTTCTGAATTCCCTCTCAGGCAAATCCAGAACCCGCTCTTCCTCCTCTATAAAATCTTTGTCTATCCCCAGCTCATTTGTATCTGCTGCTCTCTTCTGCTTTTGGATGTGTTTCAATAATGTTAATTGTTTCTTGTTGGGCATGATTATTCTTATTTTATTATAATTGATACTATCATGAGATAGGTGTCCCTTATTGTCTGTATTGTGTATTAGGTGTGGTTAGGTCTTGTCTACGTGGAGGCCCTGGCGGGCGGGCATGTGCAGTGCAGTGGGGGCGGGGGCAGTGTGCACAAGGCACGGCGGGTGCAGGGTCGGCACAAGCATGCTGTGGTGGGGGCGTGGTCAGTGCACAGTGCAGCAGGGGAGTGCGGTTCAAGGGGGGAGTGCTGTGGGGTAACGGTTCAAGGGTAGAGTGTGGTGGGGGAGTGCCACTCAATCTGGCAGGCTGGAGGCCACTCCAGTGGATGGGTGGAGTCTGCATCTGATGAAGTCAGAAAGTCACCATTTTTCTCCTTCTCTCTGTGTCCTGGTTAAACTTATTTTCTTGCCTACTACACGCACTGAGATTCCACACTAGGGCAGAGAACCCTCTTTTTCTTCTTCTTCTTTTTTTTTTTCTCCTGCGGCTGTGTTTGCTCAACATTCCCCTTTACTGGCAGCACCACTCTCCATATGGGCTGGCTCCAGCCCCACCATCAAAGCTCTACAGGTCAGTCGCTGCCCGCATTGGTGGGCTAAAGTTCAAAATGCCAGAGATTCCTGCATAGTGTGAGTTTTTTAAAAGCAAGTTCAGGAGGTTGAAGCACTAAGTTTTATAATGGTTGGAAGGTTCTGGGTCCACTATAGGACGGTTTCCTTCATGAGGTCTCCCTCCCTTGTCCACGGAACTCCCCTTACCTGTGTGGTCTTGCCACAGTGGGGAACCGGAAGTCTATCATTTGGTTTCTTGACTGCTGCTTCCGTGAGTGTTGATAGTTGAT